AGGAGTGCACCTGTGTGTGCGTGTATTGCAAACACACCATTTGTAAAACGTCACCAACACTGGTGTCGTGGTTTCGCGTCTCCACAGGGGCGGCGTGGACAGTCCTGTCAGAGGATGTGACAGACAGCTGCTACGTGGTCGAGGACTTACCGAGAGGAGCTTCGTTCGTGTTCAGGGTGGGTTGTGTCACAAAGACGGGAGCGGGACCGTTCAGTGACGCCTCAGCTCCCGTTGTTATGGCGACTGATCCTGAAGGCAAGAGAAACGCTGTCTCCTATTGGACGTTATCGTTATTATGCTCTTTTTGAAAACATGGTGCAACAGCTGTTTGTGTTTGTTACACAGAGATCCACATTCCTCTCATTCAGACTGAGTCACTGGGGTCAAAGGTCATTGGATCAGAACAAGCAACACACAAGAACTACAACTTCCTGTCTGAGATCAACAGGTGAGACGTCCAACAATGAGCTGCAGCGGTTCAATAAAGTTATGTTTTGTCTTTCTAATCTTTATAACTGAAGAGCTGATTGCTTCTGTTGGTAGTAGCAGTGCATGCTAACACATGCTAACACATGCTAACACAGGATACCAGAACCAGGCCCAGTGAGCCAAACCTTCCTTTACACGCTAAGGTCTTGGCCTGACGATGCAAAGGGTCCTTGGGTGATTTATGTTGTGACTTAGTGCTGCATCCATCCATCTTTCAGGGGTCGTTTCAGCGTGGTAACCCTGTGCAGGAACGCAGAGACCAGCCAGGTGTTTGCAGCCAAGATCACCCCTTACCGAGCAGAGCAGAGGCAGCTGGTGTTGAGGGAGTACCAGCTGCTGAGGAGGCTGCACCACCCCCACCTGGTTCAGCTGCACTGTGCTTTCATCACCTCGGGCTACCTCGTGTTAGTAGAAGAGCTTTGTCCCGGCAAGGAGCTCCTCTACAGCCTGGCTGCGAGGTAAACGACGCTCAAAAACATCGGCCATGAAGCCGTTCTGAGGAGCACAGTTCCTAATAACGCTCGTGCGTCCTCGTCTTTCAGTCTAGCTTCAGGTTAGAACTTGTACACATTAGGGATGCACCGATACC